ACCAGTGAAACTGATATGTCTGTGACTGGGAACTCTGATCAGCTGACAGGGAGTACATGGTGCACTCTTCTGGCTGGGAGTCAAATTTGCTATTTGCTGGGCAGGTGGAGCTGGGATCGGGCTCCCCCTGCACTGGTAACATGGAACAGTGGGTTCTGATGCAGGATCCCACAATCACACCTCCTGCCATGCATGTGTGGTATGGCAGGAAGTGTGGGTTTTAGGATTCTGCATCAGATCTTATAGAATCTTTATTTTAACATTTGTCAGGGGCCTCTGAGTGCAATCTCTATTATATTGCTTTGTGTTCCCTAAGGTCAGTCAAGAACAATCACCTGTAAGCATCATCTGTTTGCCAAGTTCATTTGGTTCAAAACACAGAGGAGGTTGTTCTGATGTGGTAGTCGCACCTCAGCTCTGGAACTCCCGTCCCCTGCAGCCCACAACAGCCTGAGCCTGGAAAACTTCAAGAAGTATTGTAAGACCTTTTTATTTGGGCAAGCTTAGTTATTAGCAGGTAATATTTTATGTTTTTATAATTTATCTTTGGATTTTTTTATTGTGAGCTATCTTCATTCTTTTTGGGGAGTAGGGAATATACATCTAATAAATAAATGAAATAATAAAAACTGAAAATCTATTCAGGTGATGACTCATGGTAAATGAAAAAAATAATGTCACTCATTTGTCAGTAAAAAAAAAAGAAAAGAAAAGAATTTTATCCATGGTAAGAGAGTATGTAGAACTTTTCAAATTAGCCACAACATTTACTTGATTATAAGATGAGGGGGTTTTTCCCCATTCAACATAGGGAAAATCAAGCCTCATCTTATGATTGCATACGACTTACCTAAAATGGGAAAGGCACATGGCCAGCCACCAGAGGGTGCCTGAGCTTAAAGTGCAGGGTTCCTGGTTGGCTGGTCCAGGGTCACTCCAAGTTGCTGCCTGCCAGCGTGTGATGAGTTGTTTTGGCACCCGCTGGCTAGAAACCCCACATGCAGCTTGAAATGACCTGTCAGGTGCTGGCCAGGCACTGTCCCATAGCTTGAAGAGTTTCTGGCCAGCACATGCTGAGTTTCTCTGAGCTGCTCTGCCCCAGCAACAGGTGCTGGAGCAACTCGTCACATGCTGGCAGACCAGGCGGGTCTCTTTCTGTGTGTTGCGCTGCTTCAGCAGCAGCTCAGAACAACTCAGCACATGCTCCTGACCAGAAAACCTGCCTGCTGTGGGGATGGTGCCTGGCTGGTGCCTCTTGGTCGTCTCATGCTACATGCAAGAAGCCTGGCCAGCACATGCTGAGTTGGCAGTGGCTGGGAGCGACCTGATCATCTGCCTGCCGGGCACCCAGCATGTTGTTCTAAATGAAAATGCATAGGCAGGTCATAATTCTGACTGAAATTCAGTTAGGACACTAGGCCTAACACCCCTACTTATGCACAAATTCCACACTAGGCTAATATTTTATTATTGGTATATTATTATTGGCTCACAGTAGCAACAAAAAAAGAGCAGGGCCATATTGCATGATGGAGACATGACACAAATACTACAGGTCTTGCTCCAAAGGGTTTTTTGGTACATGACATAATGCAGTAAGTATACAGATAACAAAAATGAATCCACATGAAGGAAAAAGGTAGAAAAGGAGTACGATGAGCAAGTTTTGTAGAGGGTTCTACCCGAGAGAAGGCAGTTCCATTGACGTTGGGTGCCTATACACATGCAGTGAGGCTGCTCTGACATGCTATAATTACAGCACATCAGAGCAAACTCAATTAATTACCGTGTTCCAGCAGACTCCAGCTTCAAGTGTATCAGTGTCCCTGTGCTGAATAATGGTGGCAGGGGGTGCTTTAACTAAAGCTCATTCGATGAGCTTTAGTTGAAGCGTCCCTGCTGCCATTTTTCAGTGTGGGGATGCTGATACACGTGATGCTCTGGGCGCTTTAATTAAAGCAGCCTCCCCCCAACTCCTGGAGCACATGTATAAACACCCTCTGTGTCCCCTCACACTAATCTAGAAACATAAGTGTGGTATTAACTTAGGAGAAAGTGTCACTTACTGAATCACCAACATCCTCAACTCTAGGTTTCACTTGAAGCTCTCTTCTCTTAATACTGACTCTAGTTAACTGATGACATGAGAATAGACCACAGCCAAACTGCTGTGGTAGCAGACAGAACATTACTTATCTCACAGAAAACTTGTTTCTTCAGGATGTTGTCCCCAACGTTGGGGTGCCAATTTATGTGCAATAGGGACAGAAAGGGATCATGCAAGAGGGAACCTGATTCTGTAGCTCAGTTAGCAGGATGCTCTCTTGGGACTGAGCCCTGGTTTCTGCTCAAAGCAGTCTTCGTGTATTTTAATTAAATAATACATTGGAAAAACAACACAGAGGGCAAGGTCTAGAAACTAGAACTCGGGATCATAGGGGAGAGCTTTTTTCACTGGGCTGTGAGATCCTAGTGAGGGTTTCTCTTGCTTGCTCTCAGTTTTGGTCCCATGAGTACTACAGTTCGTTCTACCAACTGGCCTAACTTCTACAGGAGGCAGGGGGAACATCCTCAGCTCTCTACCGAGCTCATAACATAGCCCATCTCCTACTTCCTGGACAAGTACCTTTACCTCTTGACTACTGGAAAAAAGGAGGCTGGGTCCTTCTCACAGAATTATTGGTAGAACCATAGAAAGTTAGGGTTGGAAGGAACCTCAGGAGGTCACCTAGTCCAACCCCCTCTCAAAGCAGGACCATCCCCAATTAGATCATCCCAGCCAAAGCTCTGTCTAGCTGGGTTTTGAAGACCTCCAAGGATGGAGCTTCTACCACCTCTCTGGGTAACCTGTTTCAGTGTTTTACTACCCTTCCAGTGAGAAAATTCTTCCCGATATCTAACCTAAACTTTCCTTGCTGCAACTTGAGATCATTGCTCCTGGTTCTGTCATCTGCCACCACTGAGAACAGCTATGAGTTTTCAAAGATGATGGCCAATGGCTCTGCAATCACATCAGCACCCTTGGGTGCATCCCATCCAGCCCTGTGGCCTTGTACACGTCCAGCTTTTCTAAGTAGTTTCTAACCTGTTATTTCACCATTGAGGGCTGCTCACCTCCTCCCCAAATGGTGCTTCCCATTGCAGTAGTCTGGGAGCTGACCTTGCCTCTGAAGACTGAGGCAAAAAAGGCATTGGCACTTCAGCCTTTTCTGTATCCTCTGTCACAAGGTTGCCTCCCCCATTCAGTAAGGGACCCACACTTTCCCTGATCCTCCTCTTGTTACCAACATACTTGTAGAAACCCTTCTTGTTACCCTTCACATCCCTTGTTAGCTGCAACTCCAATTGCACTTTGATCTTCCTGACTTCATCCCTGCATGCCCAAGCAATGCTCTTAGATTCATTCTTCCCTAGTTATTTGCCTAAGTTTCCACTACTTATGCACTTCCTTTTTGTGATTTATTTTACTGAAGAGGTCCCTGCTAAGTCAAGCTGGTCTTCTGCCATACTTGCTACTCTTCCTGCACATTGGGATGGTTTGTTCCTGCACTCTCAGTAAGTCTTCTTTGAAGTACAGCCAGCTCTCCTGGACTCCTCTCCCCCCTCAGACTAGCTTCCCAGGGGAACCTTCCCAGGCATTCCCTGTGTGAGTCGAAGTCTGCTTTTCTGAAGTCCAGGGTCCTTACTCTGCTGCCCTCCACCCTTCCTTTCCTCAGGATCTTGGACTCAATCATCTCCTGGTTACTGCTGCCCAACTTGCCATCTACTAGTATATTCCCCACCAATTCTTCCCTGACATGAAAGAGGTATATGGCATGCAGCCCTACGAATTCAACCTCCTCTTCCCTCCCTGACACCTCTCCCCCCTCTCCTCCAGTATGTCCGTTGTTTCGCTGTCCTACAGTTACAGCTTTTTTCCCACTATTTTGCAGGGTAAAACTACATTGACACATAGTAGGCCTGGAATCACTGAGCAACTTTTAGGCAAGACAACTGTGTTAGTGAGGAGAAACAGAGTGGTGAACTGCCATACTGACATGGCATGGTAATGCAGCTGCCTTTACCCACTCTAGCGACTAATTTATGCAACGATACAGATATCATACATGTCAGTCATACATGTCAGTAAAGACTATGCATGTCAGTGGGGTCAATAAATCTGCATTCTAACCACTAGAGAACTACCACCCATCCCTCAAAAATTAAGAGAGATTTAGCTGAAAGTTTAAAACCAACACTTCACATCTCATATACCAGGCATTGAGAATTACAGGTTTACAGTCTCTCCCCACACATACCACTACCTAAAAATCAATTGCCAGGAATATTAAGTGAAGACAGAATGAGAATAATAGTGAAAGAGAAAAATAATTCTGCAATGCATTAGGAAACCAACTTCCTTTCATTAATACAGGCACAGGAGACATCCCCACAAAAATAATGGTGCTTATACAAGCGTCAATCAACTTGACATTTGTTCTCCTAGACATTTGTTCTCTTATTTTAAACTCATGCAGCAAAACACAACTGTTCCTGAGGGAGGACTCATGGTCACAGTGTGTGAAGTAATAATTGGAATCTGTTGTGGAAGATGGGCAGAAAGCATATCATGGTATAGTATAATAAATCTAAGCAAGCACTTCTAGGCTGTGTTAATGGGAGAGAGAATTTAGATAGCCTTTCCCCTCCTATGCAATAGTTGAGAAAAACTTCTATCAAGCATTAGTGAGAGTGATAGATCAGATACTGTGCTAACACAACACAGCCCTCATGTTAAATAGCCATGAAAATCTGTACTGATTCAAAGACTTTTTGCACTTCAAGAGTGATATGCTCACAGAAAGAGCATATGTGCAAGTAAAACAGATAAGTTTTTTCATTCACATGGTAGAATGGATTTGGCTTTCACATGACACCAGTTTCATTCATTCCATCTCAAGCCCTGTTGAAAATGAATACAATAAGGTAATGAATAGGAGGAATGTTAACAAGCATGTTACCTCATCATCATCTGCATCGTATTGTGCATAATGTTGCTCCAGGAGTTCTCTCTGGCGACGCTCTTGCTCTAGGGTCTGGCTAATCAGCTGAGCAACCTCACTTACTTGTCCTGGTTTTTCTCGTCCAATTACAAACCTGTGTAAAATATTATTAATTATGACTGTCTTGAATCTTTTAACAAGCTAAATTCAAGCTCTGTTTGATTTTGGTCACAGACGTGCATATTAACTTTGTAAAACCAGTGCATGAGCTCTTGCTTTGATATCGCTATGGTTGTTCCTGCCAGTGGAGCAGCAATGTAGATGAGACATGAAATGATTAGGCCAGGAAGTGACTATGTAAAAAAATGCTATCAATGTCATCAAAGTTCTGCCTCCAATTTTGCTTCTCCACATTTCCACCACCATAGAACCTTCTGAGTTTGAACTCTCCAGATTTGGACCCAGAGCAGAGAACGGCTATTACTTATACCATCACTTCTAATTCCATAATAGCAATAAAGTTTCCTGCATAAGTCTGCAGCAGCTAGCTACACAGGAGTAATTGAAAGAGAACTCTGCAGGCTGATAGGGA